AGAGAGAGAGAGAGAGAGAGAGAGAGAGAGAGAGAGAGAGAGAGAGAGAAGGGAGGGAGATCTAGTATAACTGACATATATATACTCCTAACCTGCTCTTATCACAAACCACTTCTATCTCACCTTTACTATCACATTCTATTAACATTTGATCTTAGTTACATATGCACGCGCGTACACACATACACACACACACACACACACACACACACACACACACACACCATATAGTGCATTTCGGCACATACATCACCTATTATTTTCTTTTGCATACAAAAACATAATACGATAGTGGATAATAATATCTCCATTTATTTCACCTTATATTTTTACACACATACATACACGAAAAAGGTGTAAATTCGACCGAATAATCTCCGCGTAATACCTTATTTAATGATAATGCCGACGGTACTGAAGTTTTCAAGTTTCGTTACATAAAAAGTACTTAATCAAAAAATATGTTGTTATAATGTTTTTGTAAGTTTTCGAGATAAGCTACAAGAATATGCAATAAAAAGTAGCAGGTTCTAGTTAAAAAAATTAACGTGACTTTGATCTGAGCTTGGTATCACCACCCAAGGTCAAGCTAACGGTATGTCTTCCCTCTTAAGCCTCCCATCAAACCTTATAATTTTCGTCTAATGCATTGTTTCTAAAGTGTACTGTTTCTGGGATATTAGTCTGGGGCAAAGAAAATAAATTACCCTGTTTACATAAAAGTAATATACTTATACGATTTTCTCTTTCTACTTACCCATTAAAGTTTTTATCATATTCTTTCACTTACCTGCCTCAATAAAATTTCACCAACAGCACAATAAAGACACATGTGCAAAAGAAAAGCTATAGTCGTTATGAAAATCCAAGCCCACTGCATAACTGATAATTGGTTTTTCTGTTTAATAACCTAAATAGTCATCAACACAAGTTGTATAATCTTGAAATACTATATCCTCTAAAATTCAACATATTACATTAAAAAAGCATTATACACGAGGAAAATTGACAAGGAAATTATTAAACACGGATCAACACGTACATTTTGTAGCATGTTAATATGTGATCGTTTTGAATTATAGAGAATTGTAGGAATCACAATCTCTTTAATCAAATAATTTTTATATAGTATTATTATTTTCGACTTACATTAACTATGAGAAATCCTTGCAGACAAAATAGTATAGCAAAGTAAAGTACCAAAGCAAGTAGCATTAAATTGAAGGTATCATCTATGATTTCGATAGATCTGAAACAACAACTGCACCTCAGAGAAAAATGAAATTTTGTATCGTGTTTAAGTACACGATTGTGTGTAAGTGAGTGAATGAGTGAGTGAGTGTGTGTGTGTGTGTGTGTGTGTGTGTGCGTGTGTGTGTGTGTGTTCGAACAGCTTCTGTTTGGATAATCTTTCTTTGGATAATCTTTCTTGAAAATCCATTTTGGAGTACCTGATTAAACGAGTATGATCTTGGACATTATACTTTAAAACTTCATCGTAGTTTGGATACTTCTTCATATGTTTCAACCGCAAATGTAAAATTTCTAACTGACCGCATACGTGGAAAGCTAATACTCCGAACAAGTTGTCGATCGCAATGTAAGAGAGAGCACCCATGGACGCTACGAATGTTTGCGCTAGTAGCGTTAGCTCGTACTGTGGACTCTTGGTCACATCGTGCAGGTAGTATGTTGGTAGCGGTAAATGTTTTTCAAATTCGGTTAAATTAGTCGCATCTCTCTTTCTTATTTTGAGACACGGTAAACCAAACAGACTGATCATTCCAATAAATACCATGAACATTCCACATACAGCAATCGCTCGAGCAATTCTAGCACATTTCAGCATAACGTACCGCTCCTCTTTAATCTTTACCTGCGCCCAATCTCCTTCAACCATATCAATTAGTGGGGTTAAAACTGTAACAAAGAGTGATAACCCAGTAGGCAAATTGATAGCACAGATTGGCAGCAAATTTGGTCGGAATTCCATATCATAACCATAACCATGTATGTCCGCATGCAACTTGTGTTTTGGCGTTTTGTCACAGTTTGCTAATAGGCGATGGTTACATTCAGCAGAAAATGCGCTTTGTGCTACGTTGTCAACGCAAAGCGCTAATTCGTAAAATTTTCTGCTGAACGTCACTTAGTGGTTTACGTTTTTCCAACATGTTCACTGAACAGTCCAGCATATTGAAAGCATATGCTGCAAGAAATGTCGACTGCTTTATAAATATGAAGAAGCGTAAACCATCAGTGTCTTTCAGCAGAAAATCTTATAACGTTTGCAAAGCTGCTGCCACCGTAGCAGAAAGCTTATTAAGCTAATTTTATGTTGAACGCAGCGCAGCAGAGTTACAGATTGGCAGCAATCACACAGATTATACCGCACAACAGAGTTTGGTCGATTTCTGTTGTCAATTTGCCATCAGATCGTTACTTTAACAGGTTCTTGCCGCCAATCTGCTTGAATTGCCTGTTAGCAGGCTCTGTTTTATTTTTGACGATAGCTTGATAACATAACCAGATATATTAAATCCTGTGTTGGATTTGCTGCCTTTCTGCCATAAAAAAATTTGTAACAGTCTCTACTAAAAATTTATTTGTGCAGGTTTGACTGTCTGAAGAATTGTTATTTCGCTATATAGATATTTTGCGCATCTTAGAGATTTACAGATTAATACGTGTTACTGATAAAAAAATACTAAACATAATATACCTTCCTGTTTGTACCAAATAATGCAGATTTTCAAAACTGTCATTGACAGAGGTAGACTATATTGCATATTATCTATCATTAGTATCATGTTACCCCATACTTTTATCAATGATATTAAACTCGGTACCGTGACGACGAAAAGTAAAGTTATGATACTGCACAGCCGTTGAAATTTTAGTTTTACAATTTGTCGCAAGTTCCGGTTGTCTGGCGGCCACAAGCCAATGATTTTTAACATACGTCGACATAGATGGATTGCCCATTCGAAATCTGTCATTAGAAACTTATATTTCACTTTATACTAAAAACGAAAAGTTTACATATAATATTTGCATGTAGGAACAAATACATCAACTAATAAGTTAAAAATGAGCTTCACGGATGTACTTCAACATATTAACTTTCCTAAACAAAAAAAAGTTGTGAAAAATAGAATTGTTTTAATTATTATACTCCTTGTACTTCGTCGCGACCACGTTGGATTTGTGATGTCAGAAGCGAGAGATAACATGCTGACGAATATTTCGGGCTATTTCTAAATAAAAATAAATACTGACGAAAAAACACCTGAGATTATTTGAGTACACATTGCGGTAAAAACGGCAGTTCTGTTCCGTGCTATGCTATGAGTAGCATGAGTTAGACAAAGACGAACAGCGAATCTCTATTTCAAACCCTTATTTCTCTAATTGAATTGGGGAAACATGCCTAATACTCATTTGGCCGCACATTATTAAAATTTTTTAATGGCTACATTACGAAATCCAATTTTGTACTAACAATTATTTTTATATAATAAGGTAAATCACATATTGTGTCCCAGCGCATCGTGCGAAAGAGAGGATGAGTGAAAAAAGATGCTTCATAAACGATAACATCTCCGTAAAACTCGTGCCTACAGCCGTGATTATCGGCACGTTGATGGTGAAACAAGAACAGACAGAGATTCGTTCTTGTTTAACTCATATCAATCATAGCATGGAACAAAACCTAATAGTATTTACCTCCTGTATACACTGGATAAGATTCTAATTCCCATCATTGTCAGCTATGACGCCACTGTCATCTCGACTCCATCATAAGACATATATGTAATACTCCTATATTGCTAGCAGAGCTCGAGAAAATATTATGGCGCAAGTGATATTTTACTCTAAAGCAGAATAATTGTGCATGCGCTAAAATCGAGAATATAAATGCGTAGAAACTCATCTTCGCGTGGTTTTTATGTTATTCTGTCATTTAATCGGAATGTGATAAGTTTTAGTTTTTTTTTAATTATGATTCGTTTTCTCCGTTTTAAAATATTCGGTGGAACTTCTAGGAAATGGAGTTATTTATATATCTTTTATGTAGGCTATACTTTGCAGATGTCGTACATGCACAGAGCGACCAAATCGTCTCATTTCATCCGTGAGTATGCTGCTTATTGGGAAGACTGTGCTAGCAATATAGAAGTGTTATATATATATAGTACAAGGAGCTTTATAATAAATTAATAGAGTATACGAAGAACTGAGGGGTCATTATTTGAAACAAACAGCTATTATGTTCTTTCATAATTAGTTTTTTTGAACGGAACATTTTGATAAATTTATTTGAGAAATATTTGTCGCACACTCGGATATTTATGTACAGAGAATTATGAAAAATTTTAATTATGTTACTACTCTTAAGCAGAGAGATATTTGATCTAAATAATAAACGTAAACGGGTAGCAGAAAAGAGCACCTTTATATCCACTTGAACGATGCATGCTAAGAATTAAAAAAATACTGTTTTGTACTATCGAGGAAAAGAGACTATTGTCTCTATGCTTTACGAATACTCTCAAAACAAAATACTTGAAAGACTAAAGTTCGTTGTATGTATGTGTGCACGTCGTCATAAATATTTCAGCAATCAGGGTAAACCTGACAAACACATAGGAGCGTATCGTTTTGTTGACGCTTTTGATAGCCAAAGGAGTAATTGAATAAATTATAATCACGTGGACGCACATAATGTATACTGTCTATCGTCAGAAACATCCATCACTTTCGATGTTTCGTGTTTTTCTATTTTTACTACCGCACACTTATAATTGCAGGATTGTAAGGATGCACGCAAAGAATTTTTTATGTGACGATACGAAAAAGACCGCTGAAATAAAGACGTGGAAAGTCTGCAACTGTCGACATTTTTACCTTGTTGAAAAGTTCGATCATTGGAAAGAAGGGTTACCATAGAGTGAGCACTTTGGTACTGCATTATTAACGAGTCTTTAGTCGCAACGGCTACTTTTAGCGGACAGTTGAAACACAGCAGCATATGGAGAAAGATACGGATAGCACGATGCCGATGCCGATAACTGTTTAGCGCTAATGTCTTTGACTTGTATAATGAGTGTATAATGGGCGCTTCTGAACTCAGCGGAATTCTGTGACAAGTGAAGTGTTTAAGGTGAGATGTTTTCCCGTGAAATGTTTTTACAATAATTGCTTCTATCAGCTCGTGAGATGATGTGTGAAACTCAGGGTTAATGTTACTTTTTAAAAGTAATTAGTTACAGTTACAGTTTCCCTTGCTGAAAATGTAACTAGTTACAGTTACAAGTTACTGGCTGTGAAAAGTAACTCGTTGCAGTTATAGTTACTCAAGAAGTAACGTGTCGTTACTTTTAAGTTACTCTCTTAAAATAATTGTAAATTATTAGTGAATACAAAAATCTTACATTTTAAGCTTTACTAAAATGTAAGAATTAAATTTTATAATTAATATCTATCATATTAATTGGTTTATCCCCTTAACAAATTTCAAACCTGTACTTAACATAATAAAAATTTAATAATAGTCTTGTAGAGATGAAGACAACATGTTCCATAAATACGTTGATAAATTTATTAAATTAATATATGATTATTATATAATTTTAATTCTATTTTTACTTTTCCCAAGTAACTACTAAAGTAACTGTAAATAAAGCTACAAGTTACTAAAGATAAGTAAATTAAGTTACAGTTACAGGTGGGAAAAAAGTAAATAAGTTAAGTAACAGTTACCAAAAAAATGTAACTATAACTGTAACTTCGTTACAAATAACGAGTTTCTTCCCAACCTTGGTGAAACTTGAGTGAAAATCGAATTGCATGATGTCGATCATTTTGTCCATCGCGTGCGCGCTATGTACGTCTATTTTACGCTTTAATATTTATATTTGCGATAATTCTTTCGCGTATGAGAGAGAGAGAGAGGGGGGGGGGGGAAATCTAGTAGTATAACTGACATATATACACTTCTAACCCTTATCACAAACCACCTCTATCTCACTTTTCCCGTCATATTCTACTCCCATTTTATCTAGAGACAGAGAGAGAGAGTGAGAGCGGGGGGGATCTGAAGTATAACTGACATATATACACTCCTAACTTGCCCTTGTCACAAACCACATCTATCTCACTTTTTCCGTCATATTATACTCCTATTTTATCTTAGTTACACACACACGCACGCACGCAAGTACGCACACGCGCGCGCGCTCACACGCAAGCACGCACGCACCCACGCACGCACATACCATTTATCAGTCTCTTCTGCGTGTGTATATTACAATAGTGTATTTCTCCGTATGAATATAATATGATAGTGCACATACACCGCCTATATTCTCTCTTTTTTCCAAGTTTCGTTACTCAAAAAGTACTTAACGTTGTTATAATGTTTTGGAAAGTTTTCGAGATAAGCTACAAGAATATGTAATAAAAAGTAGGAGATTCCATTTAAAAAAATTGACGTGACCTTGACCTGATCTTGGTATCACCATCCAAGGTCAAACCAATGGTATGTCTCACCTCTTATGTCTTCTATCAAACCTTATAACGTTCGTCTAAAGTATTTTTTTCTAAAGTGTACTGTTTCTGGGATATTAGCCTGGGGCGAAGAAAATAAATTACCCTGTATATATAAAAGTAATAAACTTGTATAATTTTCTCTTACTACTTACTCATTAAAGTTTTTATCATATTCTTTCACTTACCTGCGTCAATAAAATTTCACCAACAACACAATAAAGACACATGTGCAAAGCATAACTTATAGTCGATATGACACACCAAGCCCACTGTGTAACTGATAATTGGTCTTTCTGATTCATAACCTAAATAGTCATCAACAAAAATTGTATAATCTTGAAATACTATATCTTTTAAAATTCATCACGTTATATTAAAAAAGTATTGTACACTAGGAAAATTGACAAGGAAATTATTAAACAGTAACGCAGAACAGTAACACGTACATTTTGTAGCATGTTCATTTGTGGTCGTTTTGAATTATAGAGAATTATAGGAATCACAATCTCTTTAATCAAATAATTTTGTGTATTATTATTTTCGACTTACATTAACCATGAGAAACCCTTGCAGACAAAATAGTATAGCAAAGTAAAGTACCATGGCAAGTAGCATTAAATTGAAGGTGTCATCAATTATTTTGATAGATCTGAAACAACAACTGCACCTCAGAGAAAAATGAAATTTTATATCGTGTCTAAGTACGCAATTGTGTGTGAGTGTGTGTGTGTGTGTATATGTGTGTTCGAAAAGCTTCTGTTTGGATAATGTTTCTTTGGATAATCTTTCTTGACAATCCATTTTGAGTACCTGATTAAACGAATATGGTCTTGGACATTATACTTTAAAACTTCATCGTAGTTGGGATACTTCTTCATATGTTTCAACCGCAAATGTAAAATTTCTAATTGACCGCATACGTGGAAAGCTAATAGTGCGAATAAGTTGTCGATCGCAGTGTAAGAGATACCAAATATGAACGTTGCGAATGTTTGAGCTAATAACGTCAGCTCGAACTCCGGACTCTTAGTCACATCGTACAGGTAGTATGTTGGTATCGACAAATGTTTTTCAAAATCGGTTAAATTAGTCGTATATCTTTTTATTATTTCGAGACACGGTAAACCAAACAGAATGATTATTCCAGAAAATACCATGCACATTCCACACAAAGCAATCGCTCGAGAAATTCTAGCGTATTTCAACATAATGTACCGCTCCTCTTTAATCTTTACCTGCATCCAATCTCCTTTAATCATATCAATTAGAGGGCTTAAAACTGTAACAAGAAGTGATTACCCAGTAGGCAAATTGATAGCAGAGTACGCACAGATTGGCAGCAAATTTGATCAGAATTCCATATCATGACCATATCATAACCATGTATGTCCGCATTCAACTCGTGTTTTGGTGTTTTACTAATAGCAGAAAAGGCGCTTTGTGCTACGTTGCTAATGCAAAGCGCTTATTCATAAAATTTTCTGCTGAACGACACTTAGTTGTTTATGTTTTTCCAACATGCTTACTAAACGGTCCAGCATATTGAAAGTATACTGGAAAAAATGACAACCGCTTTATAAATATGTTGAAGAAGCGTAAACCATCAGTTCAGCAGAAAATTTACAACGGTTGCAAAACTGCTGCCATCGTAGCAGAAAGCTTATTAAGCTAATTTTACGTTGAACGCAGCGCAGTGCAACAGAGTTACAGATTGGCAGCAGAAATCACACAGATTATATGGCACCACAGAGTTTGGTAGATTTCTGTTGTCAATTTGCTATCAGATCGTTACTTTAACTGATTTTTGCCGCCAATCTGCTCAGGTTGCCTGTTAACAGGTTCTGTCATATTTTTGGCGATAGTTTGATAACATAACCAGATATATTAAATCCTGTGTTGGATTTGCTGCCTTTCTGCCATAAAAAATTTGTAACAGTCTCTACTAAAAAATTTATTTTTGCATGTTTAATTATCTGAAAAATTATTATTTTGCTATATAGATTTTTTGCAATTCTTATAAATTTACAGTTTTATACGAGTTACTGATAAGAAAACACTTTGCTAAACATAATATACCTTCTTGTTTGTACCAAATAATGCAGATTTTCCAAACTGTCATTAACTGAGGTAGACTATATTGCATTTTATCTATCATTAGTATCATGTTACCCCATACTTTTATCAATAATATTAAACTCGGTATCGCGACTACGAAAAGTAAAGTTATGATATTGCACAGCCGTTGAAATTTTAGTTTTACAATTTGTCGCGAGTCCCGGTTGTCTGGCGGCCATAAACCAATGATTTTTAACATAAGTCGATTTCGACTGATCGCCCATTCGAAATCTGTCATTAGAAACTTATTTCACTTTATGCTAAAAACTAAAAGTTTACATATAATTTTTGCATGTAGGAACAAACACATCAACTAATGAGTTAAAAATGAGCTTCACGGATGTACTTCAACATATTAACTTTCCTAAACAAAAAAAGTTGTGAAAAATAGAATTGTTTTAATTATTATACTCCTTGTACTTCGCCGCGACCACGTTGGATTTGTGATGTCAGAAGCGAGGGATGACATGCTGACGAATATTTCGGGCTATTTCTAAATAAAAATAAATACTGACGAAAAAACACCTGAGATTATTTGAGTACACATTGCGGTAAAAACGGTAGTTCTGTTCCGTGCTATGCTACGAGTAGCATGAGTTAGACAAAGACGAACAGCGAATCTCTATTTCAAACCCTTATTTCTCTAATTGAATTGGGGAAACATGCCTAATACTCATTTGGCCGCACATTGTTAAAATTTTTTAATAGCTACATTACGAAATCCAATTTTGTACTAACAATTATTTTTATATAATAAGGTAAATCACATATTGTGTCCCAGCGCATCGTGCGAAAGAGAGGATGAGTGAAAAAAGATGCTTCATAAACGATAACATCTCCGTAAAACTCGTGCCTACAGCCGTGATTATCGGCACGTTGATGGTGAAACAAGAACAGACAGAGATTCGTTCTTGTTTAACTCATATCAATCATAGCATGGAACAAAACCTAATAGTATTTACCTCCTGTATACATGGGATAAGAATCTAATTCCCATCATTGTCAGCTATGGCGCCACTGTCATCTCGATTCCATCATAAGATATATATGTAATACTCCTATATTGCTAGCAGAGCTCGAGAAAATATTATGGCGCAAATGATATTTTACTCTAAAGCAGAATAATTGTGCATGCGCTAAAATCGAAAATAGAAATGCGTGGAAACTTATCTTAGCGTGGTTTTTATGTTATTGTGTCATTTAATTGGAATGTGAAAAGTTTTAGTTTTTTTAATTATAATTCTTTTTCTCCGTTTTAAAATATTCGGTGGAACTTCTATGAAATGGAGTTATTTATTATATATATATATATATATAATATATATAATATATAATATATATCTTTTATGGAGGCTATACTTTACAGACGTCATACATGCGCATAGCGACCAAATCGTCTCATTTCATCCGTGAGCATGCTGCTTATTGGGAAGACTAGAGCTAGCAATATAGAAGTGCTATATATATTGTACAAGGAGCTTTATAATATATTAATAGAGTATACGAAGAACTGCGGGGTCATTATTTGAAACAAACAGCTATTATATTCTTTCATAATTAGTTTTTTTGAGCGGAACATTTTGATAAATTTATTTGAGAAATATTTGTCGCACACTTGGATATTTATGTACAGAAAATTTTAATTATGTTACTACTCTTAAATAGAGAGATAACTGATCTAAATAATAAACGTAAACGGGTAGCAGAAAAGAGCACCGTTATATCCACTTGAACGATGCATGCTAAGAATTAAAAGAATACTGTCTCTCACAATCGAGGAAGAGTGGTCTCTATGTTTTACGTATACAAAACAAAATTCTTGAAAGACTAAAGTTCGTTGTATGTATGTGTGCACGTCGTCATAAATATTTGAACAATCAGAGTAAACATGAGGAATACATAGGTGCGTATTGTTTTGTTGATGCTTTTGATAGTCAAAGGAGTAATTGAATAAATTGTAATCGCGTGGACGCACTGTCCATCGTCAGAAACACACTTCACTTTTGATGATTTGTGTTTTTCCCTCCTTACTACCGCACGTTTATAATTGCAGGATTGTAAGCGTGCACGCATGTGATGAAACGAAAGAAACCGCTGAAATAAAGACGTGGAAAGTCTGCAACTGTCGACATTTTTTACCTTGTTGAGAAGTTTGGTCGTTGGAAAGAAGGGTTGCCATCGAGTGAGCGTTTTGGTACTGCATTATTAACGAGTCTTTAGTCGCAACGGTAACTTTTAGCAGACAGTTGAGACACAGCAGCATAAGAGAAACACACTGGTGACACGATGCCGATGACTGATTAGTGCTAATGTATCTTCAACTTGTACAATGAAAGTGTGACAGACGCATTTGAACTCAGCGGAATTCTGTTACAAGTAAGATGTTTAAAGTTATATGTTTTCCCGTAAAATGATTAAAATGATTTCTTCTGTTAGCTCGTGAGATGATGTGTGAAACTGAAGTGAGTGAGAACTGAATTATATGGTGTCGGTGATTTATGAATATGTAGGCGAGAGGAATACGCCGACATGATTTACAATATGCAGCAACTAATAATTTATTACGCGATGATCATTTCGCTGACATGCACGCGCGGTATACAGAATGCCGTCGAGTTTATATCTGTCGGGCAAAATAAACATTGCGAATATCAGTTACTTATAATAAAATTAATTGAGAAACTTATATTAACTAGGAATGCGCGAAGATAAGTGGGAGGGGAAATGAAACGTGTTTATTCCCCAGTAAGCGAGAAATTATTAATACGACGTTGCTACAATGATATTGAAGAACCTATAATGTCAAATATATAGACTTTAATATTGTATCAAACATCATTATGAACATACTTTGACTGCGATTTAGAAGTTTCAATAATGTTGAAATAGGGTTGTCACAATGTTTTAATCGGCAGAAATATTTTTAAGATGTTGCACTGGTCTCAAATAAATGTTAAAGTAACATTTGAAAAATATATTTTTTGTTTAAACGTTTTTAAAACGTTTAAACAACATTCAGAAAAATCATACCATAAAATAACATGTGAAAAATATAAATGCACTATTATTAAAAAATGTTCAAAAAACAATGCATATGAAGTCAATGTTTCTAAACGTTAATTTAATGTTCTTTGCTTACTGGGTCGACTCTTACACACAATGTATTCTACTAATAAATTATAAATATGCCTGAGTGCATGTTACAACTGTAAATACAAATGCGGAAGTATCTATTTAACTCTTGGCGTTTATATGCTTGAAATCGTCATTCATTTCATTCGAAATGAGAATCTAGACGATTGTTCAACGCATGTATTAATAATTATTATCTGAAACTTGTGTCACGTGAAATGCTCAGATTTTTTCTCAGAATTAAATCCAAGTTTCCAATTGAATAAATTATTGCACTCTAACGGCATTTGCTGGAAATTACTTTATTTTTTATAAAACTGATGAAACTAATAATGAACGGCAGGCAGGAAACATATGTGCATATATAAACGATTATCTGCTTTTATTCCGTCTGAAAATTACACATAATTGTGACAATCGCATTGTTCTAATTTGCTTAAGATAAATATATTAATTTTTATATTCATTTTAGTTTCTTAATATATTTGTACTGATAATGCAGTGTTTTTCAATTGTTATTCCTAACCATTTTAAAGATACGGAAAGTTTTGTTTTCCCCAGACGTGCGATAATACCCAGACAGCAAAAGAATATTCTATGAACTAAAAGTATTCTATGGTAAATATGCTAAAAATATAGTTATATATTCACAGTATACCTGTATAACATTATAAATGTTCTATGAATGTGCATAGAGTATTTACAAAAAGTTAATTAGGTTAATTATTGATTTTGATTTTAAAAATGTAAAATAATATTTTAAATAATTTATTATATAGATAGACGTTTTACATTATTATGTTAAAATAAATGCATTACTAAGTTAAAATAAGCGCTTATTGCTATTTGGAGCATTTGAAAAACTTTTCAGTTACACAGATGAATTGCACGTATGCAATAAATAAACTTTAGGAATGTTCTAAGAACTTTGTTTCTATTATAAATTTATAAGTTATAAATTTATGTTATAAGTTATTATTATGAATTATCTATTATAAATTATAATATCTATTATAATTCTATTATAAATTATAAATTTATGAATCTCTGCCAAAATATTGTACGTGTATTCACAGAATATTTTGTGCTATTTAGGTATGGACTATTAAAAAGTAGATTTAACCAACATTCAGAAAAATTTGCGGAAAAAATAGGATAAATTTTTTACTATTCCTTTCTGTTGTCTATTATGTTTAGTTACCATTTTACTATTTATTAAGTTTGTTTACGGTTTAAAGGATATACATGATATCTTGTAATATAAATAATAAATAACTGCAATTTTTTAATGTGTGAAATAATTTGTTTAATAATTACAAACGATGTTTTTGCAAAAATAAACACAGTTTTACACTATGATTTATTGATTGTATGATTTGTTAATGATTCTTGAAGTTTTTCTATAAGATCAATATTATCTCTTATTTTTTTCGATTTCATGATTTTCTCATTTTTTACTTTTGGTTAATATTCAAGTTGCAATTAAATTTTGGACATTTTTTTCATTAGTCCTTATAGATAACATGTCTTTTTCAATATTTATCTATGCTATTAAGAATGTACACTTACATTATAGCAATGTTGAGTTGAAGAATATTATTTTAAAATCGGTTCCTAATATATGTGAGACATTTAGGACGATATTTATAATTTTATAAATTTAATATTTTTTAAATTATAAATTAAATATTTTATAAATTTAATTTTATAATTTTATATTTATAAACTTAATATTTAAAATAGCCTTAAATATTAAATTTATAAATATAAAATTATAAAATTAAATTTATATATATATAATATATATATATATATACGCTAGAATAAAAAAAAAAATATATATATATATATATATACGCTAGAATTTAAATA